ACAAAAAGCAACGTTAAGTCATAAAAAAATAATTGTTGTAGACCTCAGCAATTTTTAATTCCCCTTCCTTCACTAAACATCTGGGTTTTGTTAGCAAACACTATAAAATGATTTTCCAAAACCTTTAACACAGACCCAAAAGCTCAGGAGGGAGGGTTTCAAACCAAGTAAGAGTTGTTATTTATTCAGCCCTACCAGTGAAATTGGTGTAACCATCTTTTCCTGCCTAACCATTCCCTGCTATTTGCAAGGGCACAGGGGTAGGGAGTTAGCATGTTAAGATGATGCTCATTTAATAGAAGAAAAGGACATTACACCAAGGAAACTATTATTCAAGCAGACTCAGTCTGATGAGCCAAGAAAAAGCTGCTTCTGCACAAGCCAGGGCTCTTGAGACACCTATGCGATTAAGTTACTTCAGAACAAATTAGTGCTCCATGAACTGATTAGACCATAAATAAGCCCAACAGGAAAGGGAGAAGCCACTGACAGACACAGCATCCTCCTGACAGCAGCTGAGCTCTACAGCTCTCATTCAGCATGAACACCAAAAAGCTGTCAGTGCCAAGAGGATTGGTGGCCTTTTTACTCCCAATTCAAAGGACGTCAAAGCAGATACTGCATCTACAGTAGATCACTAATCACAAGAATCCTATACTTTCATTTTCTCTCGTCACTCAAAGCACAAATTGCAGCTCTCTCCCCGACCTAATAATTATTCGTATGGCTGTGTTTTGTTCTTCTCCAGCAGCAGCAGGAAACTTGATTAGAGCTGCAGGAACCCAGCCAGTGACTATCCAAGCTGCTGTTGTGATAGCACAAAGCAGAAGCCAACTCGGCAGGTAATTGGACTTGGAAGTCAAGAGAGATCTTCCTCAGTCAGCTTGAAACAGTAATTTCATTGGGGAGAAAATAGGTTACCTTTATCTACCACAGGTTACCAAAGGAAACTTTGATCCTGAGAAAGACAGACATAATAAATACCAAGACACACCGCCATAAAAAGGTATTAAAGGTGGGGTTTCTCAAGTCTTCAGCAATTCAAAAGGTATTTGGAATCTTTTCTGCAGTCACTATTACACATGCAATCACTTAGGGAAGCTCAACAGTCCCTTGTTAAAAAGGAATACTTCCAATTCTCAGCAGTTATATTCTTCTGCCCACTGGCTCAATACTTTGGAACGTCTCAATTACCATCCATGCTGTAACAAGCAAATTCAGTCACATTTCCAGAGTAATCCTGAAGAGCTACTGTCAACAATTCCTGCTTCCTAATGCCATACTTCAGGTAATTCAAATGTACATGAAGCCCCTTCTTCATTTCTCTAAACTTCAGGCCCATGGAAATAATTCTGAAGCATCAGAAGCCAACAGAGAAATCCAAATGCTCTCAGAGCCAAAGTCATGAGGGATTCCAAGATCAGAGTTCCCAGTAACACCAGTGAGCTCAGTCTTCACATCAGCTGCCAGCACCCCTCTCATATGGGACTGGGGCAGGTCTCTCCCTCTGTTCCACAAAAAGAATCCCAACTAAAAATATCCAGCAAGAAGCCAGGGATGGTCATGAAGAGGAGCAATGAGGAGTAATGAGGAGTGAAGATTCACCTGTGCTTGGACAGGGCAAAGTGTTAAGCTAGTGATGCACTGAATCAAGAGACTGGATGTGGACTAGAACAGGAATAGAACAGGAACATCCACACTTGGCAGGAATTGGGATCATACAATTTTATTTCCACATCATATTACTGACCTGCTTAAGATCTGCAAGAAAAACATAGTGTCCTCAAATATTACTCCACAGTGGTATTAAGCCAGTTTCATTTTCAGTCAGACACCTCTTTTTTCCCTGTTAGACTCAAATATCTCCAACCAAAAAAAAAGGCACAAATCCCCAAAACACAAAAAAACCTTATGAAAGTCTCCCTTATTCCTCCCAAAACCCAGTGAAGTCCAGTTCAGCAACTCATCATTCCCAGGTGATTGTTCTAAAGACAACCTTTTATCCCACTCTCACCTGAAGTTCAGCACTTACTGGAAAATTTCTGCCCAAGTAAATCCTGAAATCATTTCAGTCACCAGCAGACAGTGACTGGAGTTTCACAGCATTAAATATTGTGCATGAAAACAACAGTGAACACAACTCAACTAAATGAAATAAGCATTACAACTTTCTTCTGACTTTCTTAAAGCTCCAGCAGCTTAAAAATAAAAATCACCAACCCTAACCATAAAAACGTTGTTATGATGAGCCAACAGCAAACTTACACCTATGAGTTTGGTAGCCAGAGGAAGGTTTTCACAAATTCTGTTACTGTGACTGATAAACCTTCCTCTTCATCATCAGACCCAGATCAAGAGGCAAGGAATGGCCTCTCCTGTGATGTGATGATTTTGAAAGAAACTCTCTAATTCAGCAAAGGAGATTATTAAAAACTGAGTATGGATCTTTCTCAAGATAATGAAGACTCACAGTCCCCCATTCCCCAAATCCCTACCTCAGACATGTCCACACAGACAAGCTTAGAACAGCAGAAAAGTTTTAAGCTCTTTCTTACAGTAAAACCAATTTTGACAATGCTGGCAAAAACCAAATAGGGGAAAACACAAAATTTACTGAATGGTGCCAAAGCAAAGAGTTAATAAAATAGGTTTTGAAGTCCAGTGCATAATGTTGAAGAGATCAGTCTGCATTTTAACAATGACAGCAACTCTGAAAAAACTTGAGACTTCATACCCTATGCACTGCTTTTCCCCTAAATACATCCAGATACCCTCAAAAGGCCAAATATTTCTGAATTTTCTTCAGCACCTCAGAAGGCAGAGTGGCAAAAAACAAGCGCTCAGTGGAAAAAAACAAAAGGCAGTGATTCATATGCAATTAGCTCAGCTAAATTTACTACTGAAGCCATTGCTACTCCAGCTGTCCTTGACACCTGCACAGCAGGGACAATGGAACATGACAAGCATCCTCTTTCCATCTACTGCAGTGTTCAGGCTGACACACAAAATTGGTGACAGCCACAGTTCTTGAGCTGCTGCATTAATGCAATCAGCACAAAACCAGCCATGCACCTCGTTCAAGCCTCTGTTTGTCAGAGACAACACCAGTGGAGGCAGTCAGGGCTTCTCCCTCCTCTGCTAAATCCACCCCCCAAAAAGCATCACCGCCCTACACTTGTGTTTTTACTCATAGGTTCAGTTACAGTGACAGACAAGCAGAACAAAACAGAAAATTGGTTAATTAAGTTAAAGTCAATGATGTAAAGAGAGGAAACTTGGTAACATCCTATGCAGCAAAAGTTTCTTCTGGTTCATCTTTCTTAAATACAAGACTGAAAGACTGAGAGCACAACTAAACTTTTGAGGTCAAGTTGCCCATTATTTTCTAAGAACTAAGCAGTTCACTCTTTATTAGCCCATGTTTCTTCAGGCAATTACACAAGTTACATGCAGAAACAATTCTCAGTAAAACAATTCAGGCTCTGGTGCCTAAGATGTGAGAAAAGCTGATGACAGCATCTTTAAAATCTAAGTGTCCTTTCTGTGCATGGGAAGAGCACTCACTGAGAGCCACTGCACCACTGTTCTGGCACACATCCACCAGCCCTGCCCCAGACAGCAGCACGAATACACAAAAGCTCTTTCTAAGGGTTCAGAGAAAGTGCAAAATCCATTCAACTTGACACATCTACCCGAATCCAAATGCTCAGAGGAAAGGCTTTAATGTCCCAGATCCTCTGCTATCTTTATAAGGGCACTAATTTGTACAGCACACATATTTTATCTGCACTACAATAACACCACAGATGAACATTAACCAGATTCCTTGTGGTGTCTGCCAGGTGTTTAAACATTTTGCAACTCAAATGCTGAAATACTATCTGCAGTCCAAATGCTTAAGATCATCCAGTGAGAACATGTGTATATTTTTCATCCACTATGTAAAACACATTTTCCCCCCATTTGTTACATTTTAAGCAACAAACCAGAATTACCAACATATACTACAGCTCTATTCTGAAGGCTGATTTCATCAGGAAGATTTAACTCACAAAAGCTTTCATTTAGATAACAAAAACACTGTAAAATATTTCCTGTGACTTTTAATCCAAAGGACTCCACATTTATCTGCAGCAGGCAAGCCCTACACTGTACTCCAAGAGAACAAGCTCTGATGTTGTGTATTTTGGTAAGTTTAGGCATATACTGTGTATTAGAAAATAAAACAATCCCATACTATATATTAAACAACATTCTTCTCTTGGTACATTTCTGAGCACAGTGTAGGTTCTCTCTCTCTCTCCCAAGAGATATTTCAGTGAGGTTAATTTCATATAAATCATCCTCTTGTGTGAGTCCCACCACAGAACTCCACCTCCAGTTTAGCATGAACTCTACTCACTTCTTGTTTTAAGAAAAAGGCTTTGAGAAGAGAGATAGGAAGAGTTTTAGCAGCCTGAAATACATTCCACTACCAGAATTCTGACCTGGACAGTTCTATACATTAGTATGTTACTATGTTAATATATTAACTTTGCTGCTTTTCCTCCTTCACCCACACTCAACTCCAGGTAAAAATTTGTACAGTATCATTATTAGCAAGAAAAATTAAAGGCCCAAAGGGATCAGAACATTTTTCATAGCATGTCAGTTATCTCCCTGAAGAGGAAAGAAGTGTCACTCCAGTGAGAAACTAAAATACTTGTTGTGTTTTTATGCCATGTACTCTATGGCTCAGATAAAACAGCCAGCACTGACAGGCGCTTTCTGAATAGGGGCAGGAAGGTCAGATTAATTCACACCTGAGCTCACAGACTATTTTAAACAGGTAACTGGATTAAAGCTATACACCCCAGAAAGCAAATCCACTGCAGCCTCTTCATTAAACAGAAGTATCCTACAAGCACAGAATGAACAGGCAGCAAGGTAAATCAGCAGCAATAGCTGAGCTGCTCTCCACCCAGGATCATCAAAACCCAGCATTTGCCAGTGTCACGTACCTTTGAAGTTTGAGAGGGGGTAGAGATGACATGGACAGAGCTGGGTTTAACTCCACTTGCTCTAGATCGTTTATAAAGGGCAAATCTGCTTTTCCTGCGCCCCCTGTCACCATTAGGGAGGGATCCATTGTACCTGGAAAGAAAGGAAAAAAAAGTTTAGCATAAAACACCACCAGTCTGGAAAGCAGCAAAGGAAAGAGGTAATTTTGGCCACAATATTTTGGTATCATCAAATGCATGGGGCAAAACAAAAAAAAAGTAACAATGGCTAAGTTTTGCTTCCTGAATTGAGCATTCAAACATTCTTTACCTACCAATGGTTGAAATCTTATTCTCATTTAAAATATAATTAACTACAAATTAAATACTCCGTTTTTCAGCCACAGAGAATTTCTTCACCTCTATAATGCAAAGGAATGTAGAAGAACAAACTCTACATCTTCACTTGAATTTCAGAATGTAAGAAGTTCTAAAATGTTTTTACCCTACCACCCATTCTGCCCACATCTCATGCAGGACTGGAAGAACAGGGGCAACATGGAAAACCAAAGTAATTTATGGGCAAGTCAAACTATGAGAAAGGAATTTCACTCACAAAGAATGCTCTTCTAGTTGAATCTCGTCCATTTTTTACAAAACTTTAATCCTAAAGGCTTCATCTATTAATTATTAAGGAAAGAGGATGCAAGTGTTTTTAATTTATGTGACTATCTGAAGCCTCACTAATGACTTTCCTTATCAGGTGTAACACAGGAGCCCTTGACAGTTCTTTCATCTCTCCCTGAGGACACAGACCCAGTGGATTAATTATTCAGAGAAGTCTGAAGCCTCAAGGGGACAGAGCTCCTTCCCCAGGGAAGGGAAATTTCTTTGCAGTGCACAAGCATGGAATTCACCATCACCTCACCAAGATTTAGGTCAGGTAGAGGCTTTTCACCACCATTCCTGCCAGCTCTAAGCTGGAAGAGCTTTCAGGGCTTTACTGAATCTTCCATGCCTGATCCCCAGAGATTTCAGACTTTTGCCCAAGAAACTACAGATGTTATTCCACTGATCAATCTCTTCTGTCTTACTGGTGAGGTCTATTCTACAATGATTTCATATATCCCTCTCCTGCAGTCTTTATGATTACAGGTTAACACTGCAGGCAGAAAAAGAATATGAAAATGAAAGAGGCAGCAATGCAATAACCCAGAATTTTTTTTTATCATTACATCCTGTATACGTAATGATAATGATACAAATATTACATCCTGTATATTTGTGTAACAGGAGAATGCACTTGGAGAGCCTCCCACCCTTCTAGGAATCCCAAGGACAGGACTGCTGAATGACTGAGCACAAGCAAGAACAGATTTAAGATAAAAATTATCTCAAATCTCACTGCTCTAGAACTTAAAACCCAGACATTTAAAAAATGCACATTTATTACATGATGCTAAAGCCACATAGAAAATTGAGAGACTTCCAGCTGAACTTGTCCTCTCACTCCCATTTTCACAGGGAACACCACTGGGTCTTTCTGGAATATTAAAGGAGATTCCCTAACACAGCACAAAACCAACAAGAGTAAATCACTACTATTTCATACCAGGCCTATTTGCAAATTTGGAAATTTGTTATTAACTCTACTCCAGAGAAGTGCAGCCTGTGGATCCTCATCACAAGAGACCAATCTCTAGAAAGACACATCAAAATGTTCCACAGGCAGCTTAAATACCAGCACTTCAAATAGGAATTATTTGATTCTGCACTTGAATATCCCTGGCTATGTGCACATGCTTTCTTTCAAAGTCACTGCTATCAGGAATATGCCAGCAAGTTTTAACTTGTTGAAGACAACATTCAACCAGTATTTTTATCTGGAAACCTAAAAAAGTAACAATTCCCTCAGAAATAATATATAACTACTATAGATCACCATTGCTAGCTTTATATCCTGTAATTATTGATTTTTCTTGTATAACTGCTAAACAGTTAAAGCAGTTCCACTGGAAGTTAAAACCAGGCAAGTGGGGTTTTATTGTTTGGGGGGGGTTTTCCCTCATTTTCAGAACACAATTTTAACTGGAGAAGTCCACTCTATCTCAATTCAGGTCTCTGTGGGGTTTAATTACTTTTAAAATACATAAATAAAGAAGCTCAAGGTTAAAAGACCTCTTGGAGTCTTCAAATAGGAAGGAAATACAAGCAAAGGAATGATGGACTCAGTCATCCTGATTAGCACTGATAAATTCTCAGGGAGGTTTTCCTTATGCCCATTTCTACATTTCCTTTCCACAAAGGGAGGAGGAATTGAGTGGTAGTTTTATGATTTGTTATGCTTCAATTATAGACCTTCAAGTTTGATTTTGATGCAACAGTGGTAGAAAGAGCTGGGACAACTCCTAGGGACACACACATGTTTTAAAAGGGGGGAAAAAGGAGGGTGTGAGAAGTTGCCTCTTTCCACAACCAGCAGACACCTTCATTTTTCCTAGGCCAGGCCTCTCAAGTTGTTCCCCACAAATTAACCCTTCCCATGGCACTGCAGCCACACTTTTGCTTCCCAGCCCTGAAGGAGCTCCATCCATGCCCAGTGACCTGGCAGTGGTGCCCTGGGATCCTGCCAGCCATGGCAGCTCCCTCCCACCTTCCATGCCCTGCTCCTGAGCAGCAGCTCCATGCACAGCCTGTCCCTGCCTCCCTCCCAACAGGAGCTGCCCCACAGGACACAGCTGGATTCAGCACCCTGGAGGAGGAATGGCTGCCCACACCTTGCTGAGTCAGATTTTCTAAACACAGCCATGAAGAACTACAACAAAACCTGCCCTGCCCTCTCCTCTCCATCACTTTCTGCTCTTGCTTCCACTGAGCAGAGCCTGGGCGAGCACCAAGCGCCTCCCCCTGAGCAGCAACAGGATGGAATCACCTATGGAGAAGGGACTGGGATTGAGGACACAAATTCCCCATCAGCAAACACTTCCTCTCAAGTGTTTGGTGACTAAACAGCTATGTTTTCAAACCACAGACTTAACTCAAAGATGTACATTTCACCTAAATCAAAATGGATTTCTACTCGGAAAAAATTTTCACTCTGTCTCATCACAACACCACCCCACAAGCAGGAGCCATTTCCCATCTCCTCTGCACTCTCCCAACGGCTCCAGGATCAGCTTAGGAACCAGCACATGAGCACACAACTTTGTGCTTCACAAGAAGACCAGTGCTACCAAAAGAACTGCAGCTGGAACTCTCCTTCAGCCACCAAAAATCCTGGAACTAATGTTGTTTCCAGCTAAGAAACAAACTAGGAAAAAATCAATTTCACCTATGGAGAAGAGACATGGATTGAGAACACAAATTCCCCATCACCAAACACTTCCTCTCACAACACCACCCCACAAGCAGGAGCCATTTCCCATCTCCTTTGCACTCTTCCAACAGCTCCAGGATCAGCTTAGGAACCAGCACATTAGCACACAACTTTGTGCTTCACAAGAAGACCAGTGCTACCAGAAGAACTGCAGCTGGAACTCTCCTTCAGCCATCAAAAACCCTGGAACAAATGTTGTTTCCAACTAATAAACAAACTAGGAAAAAATCAATTCCACAGCAACAGAACAATCATTTCTGGGAGCACCCTGCTCACACACAGATGTGTGGGGCACTTTGGAAGTTCTCCAGATGTTCATCAGACCAGCACAGGTGGAAGGAGCAGTCCTGTACTTTTCCAAATGCTTCTCAGTGACAGCAGCACTGAGACAAGCTGCATCATGAAACCTCCTGGGATAATTATCTCAGTTGATAGCACTGTTCCTTGCAAATAAGGGAGTGGTGCTGGCATGGGCTATGGGCACCATAATTACCAAAGCCAGTTTCCTACAGATTTACATCAAACACTTGAAGAGTTTGGTATACAATGAGCTGCAAATTCCAATTAAGCTTTTCCCATGGCTGGGATGTGTAATGAAAGCCTCTCCTCCTCCTGGATTCAGGGCTGTCTGGAGAGCAAGACCACACTTGCTCTCTCCCACAGTCCACTGTGGCAAGCTCCTACTTTCTACAAGTCTTGCACTACTTGTACTACTACAAGGACTTGTCTACTTCAGAGATTAGCAGCAAGCTTTGAACTATTTGTCAGAAGGCTTGTTACACAAGCTTTTTTGGTTTATGTTTATTTTGGCTTTGTTTAAACAAAAAATAAAAAATCCAGCCTAGACAGTGGTAAAGAGTAAATGACAGTTCTGTTCCTTGGGACAACAGCTCCAAATCATGAGCTGCACCTTGGAAAGTTTGACTTCAACTCAAGGAAGTCCTCCTTAGAATTAAGGTATCTATTAGCTGACATTGAAGGTGCTGCATGTAGCTGATTTTTTTACAATGCTATCAAAATACAAGCCATCATAAAGTTAAATACTTCTGCATACCTATGCAAACTACCTCCCAAAAGACTAAAACTGAACAACTCCTGATTTTCACTGGTAATATTTCCCCCAGACAAAGAAAGAATAATTTTACTTTGCTTTCCTTGTCTGTTAATAACAGATCCACAGCACACCTCGTCATTTTTGGATGAAAACCATCCCAAATGACAGACTTGGCTAAAAACAGATGAGATGCTGCAGTTCAGTTGTCTCCATAGTTTTAGTAAGTCAAACAGCACATCTCTGCTCACTAAACAATAAAGCTGCAGAAGCAAAATCAGGCTTGAGTAAATCCTCCCTTGTAAGTACATTCTGATCCCATATTTGGTAGAATCCTGGGGAACCTACTCCACACATAGCAAACTTCAGTTTGTGCTTACACTGTATTTTCACCTTCCCTGAGCCAGTGTGGTCCCACACTGCTGCCAAAAGCAGCAGTCTCACCTTTCATTTATTCATTTGTTCCCACTACTTCTCTCCTTGGTTCACATGAAGGGGAAACAAAACTAGATTTATGTTATAAGTTCAGTTTTAAAACCACATTCCTCACTCTCCAGCCCACTGCAAAGCCACAGAAGCACTTGTATCAGCAACATGGAAACCAGCAGGGAGCAGGAGGGATTCCCTTGCAAGTGCTACAAGTCTGCAGCTTTCATGACATCCACCACATATGAAGGCTAAAGATACATTATTCACCTTTATAACACCCAGTCCCAGAGCTTTTCAC